TTTTGAAGAAGGGTCTAGGCCCGAAACGTCAGCCTTCCTGCTCCTCTGATGCTGCTTGGCCTGCTGTGTTCATCCAGCTCAACACCTTGTTATCTCAGATTCTCCAGCATCTGCAGTTCCTACTATCTTCAAAAGAACTGATCATTGACTTCAGGAAGAAAGGAGGAGGACATAACGGCCTGGTAAAGCAACTGCTCTGCCCAGGACTGTCAGAAACTAGAGAAGGTTGTGTGCACAGCCCAGACCATCACAGCAGCCCGCATTCCATCCATGGACTTCATTTACACTTCTCGTTGCCATGGAAAGGCTGCTAACATCATCAAAGACCCCTCCCACCCTGTTAATGCTCGCCTATAACCTCTTCTGTTAGGAGGTACAGAAGATACAGAAGCTTGAACACACGTATCAAAAGATTCAAGAACAGCTTCTCCCTTGCCATTATTATACTGATGAATGGACTCTCTAACTTCAAACAATGTTGACCTTGTTGATGTTGATCTTGCTTTGCGGACCTCCTATGTCATGTAACCTGTATGCCTCACCATGTCCAAGCACGCTATGATCTGCATGTCTCTGCTTACTATGATCTGCCTGCCTGTGCTCGCAAACAAAGCTTTTCACTGTACTTAGGTACACATGACTACAATAAATCAAATCAAATCAAATCCATAAATCAAAAGTGTTTTTGCCAATAACAATGCTGGTTTTCTGATCCCAAACATAACAATTTTACTATGGACAGATGTAGGTGAATTTAAACTGAACAAAGAGTAATATACCTACGTCAAGATGAGAAGAAATTGGTGAGGCAGGAACAATCCTATGTAGGTCGTAAGAATCAGGTCAGATAAGATTATACAGGATTAGGGTACAGAGGTTGGAGGCAGTGCAGAGGAAAGACTTGATAAGGTATTAAGTACCTAAGAAATTAGGAACGTGTTTTTGGTAGGAGATAAAAAGGGATGTTGTAGAATTATTGTTCAGATTTACCAAGATAGAGGTCTTTGTGTTTGTACAAAAACAGTCATGTTATGACTACAGGTTTGACAAAGATTAAACCTGAAAGAACAAACATTGCAAATTCCTAGGCAAATAGATTTGAATCAGGAAGAAGAATGTGAAATTGACGCGTAGTAACATGTCAGTGATATTTGTTGGAAAGATTGCATGTAAAATACTAGAGAAAGAAATCATCGTGGCTCAAATTAGGTGAAGACAGATGGAGTCAAATATGATAGAATGGGAAATTCTTTTGACCAAAATTAGGAAGAAAGATAAAAGTGACAGGGGGTCAAGGGCTGATGTGAGCTGAAGTTCGAGTGGAATCCAGCTGACAAAGGATTTTTCCGAGTCAGCGGGCGGAATATTGAAGCGAATAGTGTAAATCTAACACCGGTTGAAATTGGAGGAAAAGGAATCTGGTGATAGACTGGGTCTCAAGTGTTGTGGATGATAATGGTTTATCATACTTGAAAAGGAGAGGAGTCAGGTGGTCTCAAAATGATGGATGAGATGAAATGTGATATAAAGGACTGAGAATTAGTTCTGTCTCAACACTCGGTGCTACTGAAGAGAAAGTGCATACATTCTGCAATAGTAGCAAATCATGAAGTGATGGTAGCAGCAGCTAAAGGAGCATAGAACATCACATCAATGTTGATTATGGATGGATCCAAAAGAGGAAGGCTGAACTCTGAAGCATTTAAGTATGTGCTCTCTTCTTAAATACTTTACAATTCATTCTATTTATTTGCTCATATTTATTTGTGTACTTTTCCTCTCCTCTATTTTAAATGCCAATCCTTTTTTTTTCTGGTGGAGATTATATCTGAAATGTTCAGTCGGTTATTCTGCTCACAGGTGCTCATTTGCTGAGTGTTTCCAGAACTTTCTGAGCATTTTCCCAAACAAAACATCTAAAAATCATCAATGCACAATTCCATGGGTATATTTTGTCTGTTAGTTTTGATACAGAACCGCTTGAGGAATAAAATCAGATTAGAGTTTTATTTTGGCATTAGAGGGAGTTTTGTTCAATTCTTGATGTTATTGGTAGAGTTTTGCAAGTGTAGAATCTAAGTATAAGGCAATCATCTGATTGTGTAGGACGAAGTGGCACTTAAACTAACACGATTATTTTATTATAAACCTGAAGAAGCTAGTGAAGAATGGAACAAAGAAGAACAAAATTCTTGAGATGACAACTTCTGTGTGCTAGAAATAATTTGTAGCTGTCTGTTCTTGTTTGTGTTACTCATAGTTAGTGACAGCTGATATGTGACCAGACTAAACTTAACATGAAAAAGCCTCACAGATTTGACATTATTGCTTCAATGTTGCGATCAAGCCAATGTCCTGAAACTGGGAAACAAAAGAAAATCTGAAGAAGGGTCCAGGCCCGAAACGTCAGCTTTCCTGCTCCTCTGATGCTGCTTGGCCTGCTGTGTTCATCCAGCTCTACACCTTGTTATCTCTGTTCCTGGAGTGCTGGTTTTCAGAGCTGTTACTTTGAGAAGTTTAATTTAGTAAAATAACATTGAGGTGCTTGTGATGTAGAAAAACATTTTTCCTGTAATAGAACATTTATCAGCTATGTGTTGCATGAACTGAAATCTTAACAAATAGCCCAAAGAACAAAGTATTCTCTCAAATAACTGATAATCTAAGACCTTGACCATAGCAGCAGAAACAAAAAATTGCTCAATATACTGTTTAAAACAATTAAAAGAGTAACTTTGACATTTTTTTCGACTATCATAATTGTAGACTTCTGTCATAGGATTTCAGACCAATTTAATGATTTGAAAGTAAATTATTTTTTGAAGTAACTATTCTCATTTATGCATTCTCCCTTCAGTGATTTTCAATGTGTAAATATTGATGTTAGAAATGTTCAAATATTTCATAAAGTTGTTTTTTTATGTGGTATTAAGCAATGTTCTCAGGATATACGTGGCAAGATTTTATGTCTCCTCTTGAAAAACTCAAAACAGAAAATAGCAAAGTACAACCTTGTAGCACTAATATGTACCTGAAGATCTTTCACTAAATCTTAGATCATGTTTCAGCTCTGATTTGCCTGCATTTATTCAGCTGTTTACATGGTCAATGAATAATTCAAGATGAACCTCTGTAATTGACAGTATTTCACTTATGAAATAATCTTTAATGATGCATTTACTTGGAGAAACAATATTTGCATTTTTAAATGTCAGATGGTTACCATTTTTAAAGCTAATTATTAGACACATCAATTATTTGAACTTTACTGGGTTTGTTTAATAGAAACAGCTGAGAATAGTTTTGTTTTGCTTACAGATAGAAATGGTCTTCTTTGGAGTACTGAATGTGGAGAAAATGGTGGTTGTATGTCGTGAACAGTCTGTCTCAAATCATGTTGCATTTTGTTTTGACCTTTTGATTATATTCACTCAAGTGGCGCATTCACATCTGGAAAAAATGGGATCCTTCTGTGGCAGCAGTAGCGAGCAGCTGAAACTGATCTCTTATGCATCCCAACAGAAAAATAGATTGTATTCTTCAAACAGATCTTAAAAGGATGTTTGTCCTTGTAGTTCTATTCGTAGATGGCACAGGATATGATCTTTGCAGAAAATAAGTGCTCCGTGCAGCAGAGTGTCTGTAAGGCAGAAAAATAAACAGAAGAAAAATTATAATGAATTTATAGATGTGGCTTTGTTTTTAAGTTACTGTGGCAAACTGGACAGCAGGCCCAGTGATACAATACGGGCCCTGTATTTCAAATCCAAATTCCTTTTTAAATCAGGAATGACTGTAAGTGGTTGCTATGGTTCTGATGGAAAAAGGCAAATGATTGATTTACTATGGAGTCTAAGTGTTTGCTTGTGAACTGCTTAACTGTTTTCCTGACACAGATTTTATAATTTACCTTACTGATTGAAAATGAATGGCTATTCTGATTCAAATACGCAACTTTCTTTTTGTTGATTTTAGTAGCATACTATCTTTCATATATTTGTGCAAAAGAAGTTAAAGTGGACAATGCTAGACTTTTTCCCTTCATGTAAACTGAATAATGTATCAATTCGCTGAAGAGTAGATGACTTTGTCACTGTATGTTGTAACCAGACTGGTAGGAGGTGCACAAGAAAGGCTATTTGAATCACTGTCTAATATTTTCACCCCTCCTCCTGTTGGGAAATGCCTTTCTTGTTTTCAATACCAACACCAGATGGTCGAATTAAAATCTAGAACAGTTTCTCTTCTGCAAATGATGTTACCATGAACTAAAAGTTTCAAAAATATTTGATAGCTAATATACATTGCTGTATCTTAATGAGAATAACAAATTGCATATTCTGGCAATTAATTTCAACTTGTTTTGTCAAACAATGTTAATTTGTATTCCCATTTTTGCTGTCTTTTATAGAAGATATGGTAAAGGACATATTTTAGCTGTTGCATGGGTGTCTAGATAAAAGGGTGTTAAATGTTTTCTGTATCTTTTGTTTTAGAGCATTTATTTTTATTATTTTGGCAAATTTGTGTTTGCAATGATTGCAGTCATAGCAAAAGATATAATTGTTGGTTGTTGATTGTGTCACCTGGTGATCATAACACAAGTTAAGCAGTGCATGGTTTTCCTTACAGGCTTATTTCAAACATGCCTCTGTCTTAATCTGAGAGAAAACACTCTTAGCAGCTCAATATTTTGCTTTCAATACTGCCATCTCTTTATCAGTGAGACTGTCAAAAAAGACCAAATCATTCAGAGATATGAAAGTTCTGATTCTGAAGAATACCTGTGTGTACTTCTGCAATTTCAATGTTCTACTTAAAATTAACTTATTTGATCATTCCATCTGAGTTACTCCTTCGCTTACAGAAATTTTTGAATTCCAGTGTGCTAAAGAACAACCAGGGAAGACAGTCTAAATAAAGTATTGTGTTTTTGTTACCTGATTTTAGAAAGGCAGTGGACCTTTGCGTGAGAGTTTGGGTCGTGTGCGTTTATTTTCTCGTGTAGTAGATTGTTTGCATCCTGAGCAGCGAATGATGCGGTTCACTGATTGACTAACGTCTTCTGTTAGATTTGTTTCTGCCCAACGTACAAACTGCTGGAGTTCTAACAAAGAAATAAATAAATAGATCAGTTAAGATTTGATGGCTTTCTGTGACTCTTCAAAAATGTGTTATCAATACAGCAGCAGTGTGAATAGACCTTATTGCAACGTCTTAGAAAATGTTAAGACTAAAAATATTGCAGAATTAAATAAGAATCTTGCACATGATGCTTTCAACTTCTAAAGCCTAAAAAACATGTGTATCCTAAAAAGGAGACTAACGTAATGATAGATTCTTACAGGCATTCATTTAACTTCGTAGTGATAACAACTACTGCCAGTGCAAGCGAGCTATCAGAGCTAGCATTGCTATTGAAAACTGATTGTTACTTTGTGACGCAGTAAAATGATTTCAGTGAATAGTTTAAAGTATTTATCTTTGTCTAAATTACAATTCATAGTCAATGTTCTTCAAAACAATTATTTTAATAAAAATGCAGTGCTTACCTTCACATACTGAAGACATTGCTATCAAGATGATTAGAAGAACGATGTATTTGGCATTCATTATTTGATGAATATATGAATAACTTCATTTACTAATACTGTAAAAAAAATTCTCCACCATATTTAAATACATCTGAGTTAATTGCTTTGGTTACATACTCGGAGAAAATTTCACTTTGAGTCTTGATTGCAACTGCTTGCAGACCGTTTCACTATTATGTGGATAGCAGTGCAGTCAATCAGCAGACCACGTAGATCAGCCTATTGAATTAGTGTAATGCACATTAAACCATGCCTCTTAGTTCTTATTTGGAACTGCAGCCCATTAAAACTCCTGTGTTTTTGCTTTGCCAGATTTTGCTGCAATGGAAATGTGTCTTGATGCTGATAGTTATTTAAATAATGTTTCAGAAAACTGTGTAGCAAAGCTTATTCATCAAACAATGAATTCTGTTGTGCTAAATTATGATTAACTTTAAGAAAAGCATCAGAGGTTGTGTTCTTTATTGCATTGATTTGATTAAATGTTACAGTGAAACTACTGGAATAACACATTGCTTAATTGTGCTGAAATCCATGCTTTGTTACTTGCTTGTTCTAGAGGTTCTCTGCTCTCCAGAAGAAGAACCATCTCCTAATATCTAGCTTAAGTCTGTTCTTATGTACTATAGTATTGTGAGCTTATATCCTATCTAACCTATTTAATTGGAGCAAACTATCAATTTAAATTCAATCTGTTATCCTCATCTTACAAATCTCAGTTAGGTGACTCAGTTGTCTATGCTTCACTAATGTGTAAAGGCCTGGTCTTGAATTAATCAAATTGCCACCCTTTGTACTCTTTCCAAAGTCTCAGACTAACTCACCCAGTGAGCAGAGCAGGACTGCACCCAATATTCAATTAAGACCTGACCAAGGTCTTGCAAAAGGCCAAACAGCATGTTTTGATCTATTAAAGTCAGTTGTATTATAAATTCTCGGTAAAAGTCGGTTTTCTTTTGCTGTCACGTTCACTGCATTGCTTGTGATTTGTGCACCTAGGTCTTTTTCCACTTATTTTAATGCTTTTCCCTGAAGCGAATATCTGTGTTGAGTATTCACCCTGCCCAGATATGTAATACCATACTTTATGAAATTAGCCATAATTTGTCAGCCATAATCATCATCCTGCTAATGTGTCAAGATCTACCTGAAGCATTAGACATTGCCTATTGCCCTAAGACTCATACAGGTCTTAGCTCTGTGTCAACTGCATATTGTGACCAACACAGATGATTAATTTAAAAAACCCGTAGGCTCGTAACAAACAAATGTGACTGACTCTGAGTGAATGAATGAAAAAATTAAAAGTGAGTCACACTGGAAAAATGTTGCTGAAATCCTGAAGGTCATAGAAGACTAATGGAATAGATAAAAGAACCATAAATAGTCCTTTAGCAGTATGGAACTTGAATACTGCTAAAAAAAGACTTTTTTGAAGCTTTTCATCACGGCATTACACAGGAATACAAATCCAAGTGGAAAACCAGCATTTATATTGCATGAGAGGAAAGTGCTGTTTGGTTGGCAAGTGAGCACTGGTAGAGTTATTGCCACAGAGAGTACACTATTAATATATGGAAGTTGAACTGGATGCTACATATGTGCTACACAGTATCCTGCTCTTTGCAGACGGAAAGAACATCTGCGTACATGCACCCTGCGAAAACAGAGTCAGTCTTGGTTTGAAGTTTAAACAAAACCTAGCAGTGAACTGTCAATCAGCATTAATGGGTTCACTTTAACATTCTGGCTTAACAAAAATAGAAACAACAAATAAATCACATTAATTTCTTAAAATTGTAACATTGGTTCCATTCATTGAAATGGATTTATATTTGTTTTTTGAAGCAACTTCTTAATTTCAGGGTTGTCAAAAATAGTTAAGTGCTAGTGAAATAATTCCAAATAAGCTATAATGTAAAGTTATTACTATCTTAATTCTCCAGTTTTCCATTGGTTTTCTAGGCCTCATTATTTTATGTTGGCGTCGGTATAACTGTACTGACTTTACAGAAATTGGAAGTTCCCTTCAAAATCAAACAACTTTGTTCAGATTAAAATAATACAATTAAAGCTATTTGAGTAACTTTGTTTCATTTATTTATGCTCATCACTAATTGCCATTGTCATGTTGAACAAACTAAACCGCCACTTGTTATGTTCCCAGAGAACTCCATTTTAAGATGCTTGTACTGTTTAAAAGGATGATGACTTGAATGCATGTGGTGTGTTTTCACATTGTATTTATTAATTTTTTTAAATTCACATTATAACTTTGTAAGGTTAAATCCTATTACTGCTGGAGATTATTTCTTGAAATATATATTTTGTTAGGAACAATTTTCTGCTTTTTATACTGATCATAAAATATTATTTTGCCATTATTGCAATAATGTACTTATTAAATTGAATATTGTCCAATGTACATGTACAGATGATAATTCTGCTATATAGCTTGCATTAGTGTGAAGATTAACAAGAAAGTGTGTAATCAAATTATATTTTAATCATAATCTTTAAAAATAACGAATTATCTTCTGTTTTTTGGATGCTCAGTCAACGTTTTAGAACATAAAACCCTGAAGAAATTGTTAAATCATTGTGAAATGCATTTTATATATTTGTAAAAATAGTAGACAATTGTAGTTAGGATAATTTATTCTTCATTTCTATATAAAGTATATTCTGTGATATAAATTTTATATTTATCATTAAATTAACACTTAATGCATCAATATTCTAAATTGCCAGCTTTGTGGCATTTTGTATCATTTTTAACCATATCCAAATTATTTTAAGTCAGAAGAAGAAGTTGTGATGAATGCAATCTTGAGTTGCCTTTGCACCATTCATAAAAATCACAATTTCAAAGAAATTATTCCCAAATCACAGAATTAACATATTCAGGACTTCAAGATTTTGAAGTGTGTTAAAATATATTTTCTATGAGATATTGAGTTTCTTCATCTTGTTTTAGGTGCTAACCTGCAAAAACTACAACAAACCTGGTCGCTAGGGTTAACGTCACTAATCAAACAACAAGATGGGAATTTTAGCAAGTGTGGTTTCTTTCATTGCTCTGCAACATGGTTGAAAACTCAAGTCCAAGTATCGACATTGGATGTGAAGAGGTATTTTTCACAAATACATATACTTTTTTTCTGATGTTTTTACACTGGTAAATATATTTTCCTGTGAAAAGCCAATCTTTGTCCAGGTTGATAATTTTATTTACCTGTTATATAAAGCACCTTCTTAGTTATATTACATCCTTGCTTGGTCTTAATACACCATCACAAGCTATTATGTTGCTTAGTAAATTTTGAGATGAAGCATTTTTCATTATGTATTCCTCGCAATTACAATTACTGATCTTGAACTTGCAGTCACGTGAATTATGTAGGAAAAGTCCAGCTGTGGTGTGATGATAAAAATGTTGCTGACAGCTAAGTGATTTCTTATTGCATGCAAATGTTTTTGTTGGAAAAACTATCAGCAAGAAAATGTTTTGTTAAATATTCAAAGCATTTTGGACAAACTAGCATCTTGGATAGATTTTCAAAATTATATTTATTTATATAACTGAAATAGTAAGTAATCCAGTACTATGGATCATTAGTCAGTTACCTTATAGTGAGAGTTAGATTTAAAATCCAGTCCCCCAGTGACACTTTCAAAAATACTTAAGATGAGAAGTTAGGTGAATGGAGTGGCCATCATTAATGCAGCAAAGATGCTGACCTCAGAAGGGAAGGGACTTGTTTGCAGAAGTAAGTGCTTCAAAGGGCAAAACTTAAACCATACTTCTCGAATTGGATCAGTGTGCCTAACTTGTCTGTGAAGAAATTGTATCCAATTGAGGTGGCCAAATCAAAGCTAAACTAGATGAAAGGAAAAATGCTTCTTTAATTTTATTTTTTAAATAAATTTTGAAAGCGTGGTGGCACTCTGAAGAAGAAACAAATACCAACCATCAATTTATTACAGTATTTCTAAACATTTTCATTTCATACAAATGATATACAAATCATATTCAAAATATCCCAATGATGTGACCCAACGATTTTAAAATTACAATCTCAATTCTGACATCAGGAGATAATACATTGTAAGAGCCTTCAATACAATTCATTAGGTGGGGATTTAACTCCAATTTTAAGGGTGGAGTAATGTTGAAAGAGATTTTGATTTGTTAAGTTTTTTTTAATTTTCAGATGTTATATTAACATTTTTCTGAGATAGAAAGCTGCCACTGGACATTGGTTTGTCACATGGTGATCAAATCTATAAAAGCCTCTCTTTGTGAGACTCAGGAGCCCTACTCTGCTATGGCATTCTCTGCTTCATTTGCTGCAGGTGAACACTGGACTGAGTAGGTGCTGGATTCTTGCCCTCTCTCTTCTCTTAGACCTCTTCTCAATTTAGCTGAGATTTTGATTTTACTTGCCTCTTTCTTTATCCTTCCAAGCCGTGACCATTGCCATCATGACTGTCTCCCAGTCATCAGTGTCTAGATCCAATCATATGTTTATATTACATTTTTTAGTATCCTTATGACAATAGTATGGACACCCAGAAGGTCGTGACCCAGTGGCTAGATTGCCATACAGCATGACTTTGGGTATGCAGCTATTGGTTTTGAACCTCTTGAGTTTTTTTGGAGCTGCACTCACCCAAGCAAGTGGAAAGTAAACCATCATATTCCTGATTTATGTCTTGTAAGTAGTGGACAAACTTTGACACTCAGCCAGTGATTACAATGATAAAGCCTTGGACCTGTTCTTTTAGCAAATGTATCTGGCTGGTCCAGTTCAGTTTCTGTTTTATGGTTACCCCCAGGATGTTGCTTGCGGTGGATTCAGAAATGGTAATGCCATTGAGTATCAAAGGCAGGTTGATTCTCTCTCAGAGATAGTCATTGCTCGACATTTGGCACAAATGTCACTTTCCACTTAGCATCTCAAGTCTGCATAACGTTCCCTGTGTCAAAGGAGAATTGGATATTATTATAGATGTAGACAGTAGTTATTGTCACACTATCTAGCACTGTTTCGGACTTTACTTAAGGTGACTCTTAGCGCACAAATTGTTCTACTCAAATCTCTTTTGTAATTAAAGATTGTGGATTGCTTGGCTTCGATGACAAGTCTCACTGCAGTGATATTAGCCTGAGGTCAGACAGCATTCTTGTGCTGTTGCT